TGTGTATATATACACGGGTAAGTGTAAACGAAGAATTTTTTGAAAACGGAGACAGTGAAATGTCTGTTTATGAAAATAGCCGGCAACGTGTAAATGGCCTCTCAGAATGGCCTTTTGTGACCAGCCCAAGGCACACCTGTGGTAATCATGCTGTTTAATCAGCATCTTGATACACCACACCTGTCAGGTTGAGGGACTGCCTTGGAAAAGAAGTGTTCACACACATTTTAACCAAAGTTTGAGACAACTAAATCTTTTGTGTGCATAAAAAAGTCTTGGATCCTTAACTTAAACCTGTGAAAAATGGGACAAAAAACAAACTCGTTTATGCTTTTTTAAAGGGCAGCATTATCGCATAAAAAAAAGAATCATTTCGAATGTCTTGTGCATTTTCTTAAAATTCAGACATATTTGGTTTGTTTAGTTTATTTGTACATGTATGGAAAATACAAGAAAAAGAAATAAAAAGTTCCAACATTGCACAGCAGAGGTTAGAAGCCAAAAATGGCTTATGAAGATACCTCCCCTACTTTGGGATCTTGAGCTGAACCCTCAGTATACATATATATTTTCTATTTGCACCCATAGAAACAGGCTGAAATTCAAAATTTGTGATAGAGCATGATGGTCACATACACTGAACTCTGACAATTCAAAAACTGGAATGTGTTTTCCACCTTGGGTAAAATTTTCCTCTATCCGCTGATCCAGTGAGCATCCATTCATTCATGGCGTAGCAAATTAGAGAAATTAGCACCGGACACCTTCTCTCTGCAGCAGTATCTTCCCCTTAGTGCTCCCCGGTCAGCTGGGAGATGTGATCCCTGCAGCGTATCCTGGTTCTGCCTCGTGGTGTCCTCCCAGCTGGCCGAGCGTGAAATGCGCCCACAGGGAGGCATCCAGGGACGATCCCAACCTGGCAATGTCCACAAAAATAAGGAGGAAACACTTTCATGTGCTGGGTTTTTAATGACTGGTCATTCAGAGACCTGCTATGACAAGTCAAGGCTGAAAATCATATATTATGCCCCACACTTGGGTGGCCCTATGGGGCGAACAAAACTCCAACACTGACCCAAAATAAGACACCTTTAAAACAATCAAATCCATGGCATTTATTAACAAATAAAACAAGCAAACAATATTACAAGAATCCCAGGCTGAGAGGCAGCAGGCCAGCAGTCTCCACTCCAGAGGCCTCTCTCCTCTACTGCTGGCACAGGAGCTCTGAAGCACCTCCTCCATGCCGGGTGCAGTGCACCTCATTATGTGATGCAGCACACCTGGGCAGATCTACAGTGAAGGGAAAAGGGACAGCAGCACAGAACACGTACAGCCATACACATACTTTAACGTTTTCAAAATGCTAGTGGATTTTCAAACTCTATAACTCTGAAGGGCATTCTCAATATTTATGCAGAGATTAGAAAACTTCACCTTTGTTTGGATGGATTGCTGGAGAGAAATATGCATTTTAAGATGTAAAGTTGGAGTCATCTGTGGAGACGGACAAGCACTCAAACCTGCATTGTGAGACCAGACATGCAATTACGATTTCTTATCTTAGCTGCTCATAATGTGAAGTTATGTTTAGCACAAAAAACACTTATATGGTTAGGAAAAGATCATGTTTTGGTTAAAATATACAAAGGCGCAAAATGAGGCCTGAAAGAGGCGTACACCACTTACCACAGAAAAGTTGGGATCTATAAAATCATACTTGACGGGAGAAACTTTGACTTGTGCTTACTAACATTTTGGAGACGAGAAATTGGCGATGCGGATGGGGAGGTGTAAGCCTGATAGAGTACTTTTTGGCGCTCGCCACTCTTGGCTTTTGTTTGCGCATTCATTTTTTGTGTGGATTCTACGCACTGTTTTATAAATGAGACCAATGGTGACAAAGTCAGTTCACATACTACATCACTTTAGAAACGTTGATATGATACGTATGACACGTACAAATGTAACAGTGTATCAGTGGTTTGCAGAAACATACAATTCCAACATTTTCATCTGGTGACTGAGCTGACTGTTAATATATATCACCTAAAACACTAAACTGAAAATACGTGCAGTGAAAGTACTGCAGGTCATGGGTGTTTACAGACAGTTTGGGTTGTAATTTTACTGTTCACCTTAGTTTTCTCTTCCAAATAAATCACCTGATTACTCATGTTGCTTCCTTCTGACTTCTTTAGCAGCAGTAACTCTAAGGAAAAAAAAAACTAAGACAATAAAACCCAAACTGGAATAGAGAACCTATCCTTTAAAATAAGAAAGGAAAAGTTTGTCCAACTTGGTAGAAATCAGCTCAGCTAAACGTTCAGACGTTGAGACTATCTCATCTATCCCGACCAACACATCACAAAGATGAACCCGACATTTCCACCCTGCAGCCAGTTTTTGTTGTCGTCTCTTTATTTGGCAACAACACATTCAATGCCTGTTTCCCTTTCCCCTCGCTGAATCGCTTCACTTTCAGAAGTCTAATTTCTGAGCCATGTATCCTCATCCATCATACTGCTATCAGCCTTCACTTTAACAGTGACTTTGGTCTCGCTGCACCGCCCTCCATACAGAACAGGATAACCTCTGAAATCCCACCCTTGGCCTTGTACCGCTAATAAAACCCTGAAAAGAAACATCTCAACCCGCCCCCTCAACATTTAGACTTTAACTAGGGGTGCTCCTGACCTCGACAGCTCGGTGAGAAGAAGAAGGAGGACTGTGTTTGACTTTGGACGAGGATTCCTGTGGAAGTTTAGTGTCTGTGAATCCATCATTGTCACGGTTAAATAGGATCCGGGGTTTTAAGGATACTTTGTGGGGGACGGGTTAACTAACACTTTCCTATTAGCAGCCACCCTACAAATCCCTGGTGGCATTGTTTCAGAGAGGAACAGCTGCCATAACAACAAACACTGAGATGGGTTGTGTTTGGGGTAATTTAGAATTATCGCAACAGAGCATTAGAGTGTTTTAGTGTGACTGTTGCAAACAAATCAATGTAGTTTTCAAGAATACTTAAAAATAACACAAGATTTTCAGGCTTTTAAATTGAAATTAACAACATATCTACACACACACCATCGAAACAAGACAACAACAAGGATAAATGTCAAGACAAGAAGGTGTTAGTGAAGCACTTAGCAACCCCAAAATATGAACGTGGCAAATGTCCATCTGTATTTAAACAACTGCGACCAACTGAGCGTGTGCAGCTATTGAGAGCGAAGCATTTAGGCTCTCTTTCACAAAGGGCCCGAGGGCTAAAACCTTACACCCCTCCCACCTTCATTATCCCCGCCACACTATGATCAGCACCAAATGCCGACTATCCCAGGCCAGCGCTCACAAAGCATGCTGGGAAGGACAAAAGCAGACCTTCAGCCGATTGGTTCCACCTTATTAACAGCTTGTAATCTTCTCATGTCTTTGGCCGGGCCTCACAGAGCAGGAGTTAGGGCGAATAGACGAGTGTGTCCTCCGTTCTTGCTTTGATGCGGAGCAGCCTTTTCCCCTCTGAACAGTCCCGTTCTGTTATATTTCCATTGTTGCGGCTGCACCTGTTTGCCTGCGGGGACACATGGAGGAAATCAGTCACTGGCAACTGTTAATTTCTCATTAGAGTCTCTCTGCACATTGTAAACAGACGACAGTTTGGGATGTAAAGCCCATAGCAGGTGCACCAACTCATTTTACGCTCTGGTTAACGACTCTGTCAAAAACCTTGGAGAGAAAAACCAACAAATATAGTTTATTAATCCAAAAAGGATTTTGTAAGGTTTTATTGCAACTCAAACTTAATGAATTGACTGTTTCCCTCGCGGAGAGAGTCTGATGCAATTTGCAGTTTCCTTTTTATGTTAATTTAAAAGAACCCTTCGCCCCACAAAAGACCATTTCTTTATCAATGACTCACCTTGTGTTGCGCTGAATATGTGAAGGAAATGTTTTTCTCGCATGCCTCTGGTGACAAAAGAATCCAAAACTGGAGAAGCTTCTTGGTGAGTTGAACTAAAAGGGGTCTGCTTTTATCAACAGCAAGACTATAGACCGAATCACAATGCATGAACCCAGGTGTCACGTAAATAAGATGAAACAGTGCTAAGAAAATGCTGCCTCGGTTGGTTCGTTTTTAGCCACCTAAGAAAGGCCAACCTAAAAAAACTATCACTTTATATGAATGCTATATTTAAATGACTGTCGCCAATTTACCTCTCCATCAGACAACCTTTACGGACAGGGAACTGAAGCCATAACTCAAAGCCACCAGACTCCATTCACAAAAACAGTAATTTTACACAAGGGATTCTGGTCTACTGCTGCCTTGATCAGTTAGTGTGTGAGGTAAAACCGTGAAAATATTCCAAATAAAGCGTACACTTAAGCAAATACTGTTTTTTTCTTTTAGGTGGATCTTTTTAGGTGGCTAAAATGCATTTTGCTGTGGCCCCTCTCAACAGCAGTACATTGATCAGCTTCTGTGCAGGTTGATTTGGTTTATAAAAAAAACACCAGCAAAGCAACACAGTACATAAAACAAGAACACGAAGAACCGTCAGATAGATCAAACCACCATCTTTAACTATACATCTTTAAACATTACAGTTACAGCTGAAAATGACGACATGCAACACATTCTCACTCTGACCTCATCACATACCGACGTTTGGTTATGGACTTTCTGTGTCGAGATACGACATGAAAGGTACCCTGGGTGTGTTGGTTGTTGACGTTGTGGGACGCCGTGTCAAGTTGTGCCTGTTACATGCATTGTCTGCTTTCAAAATACACTTCTGTTTTCACAGGAAATTTAACGTTTACATACAGTCTCTTTCAAAATAAAAGCATTACGTCGGTATGACACTGGGAATTGACGTTTTTTTCCTTCAACAACAAACACAGGAAAAAAGAACAGGGATTGACTTCACAATTACATCAAAAATGGCAACCAGCCGCGTATCATGTCAATATGAAAGGACAGCTTTTTTCGTCAGTGTCTCACATCGGAAGACACCCATTCCGACTTCGGAGTGAAACCAGGTTGCAACATAGATAAACAAGGCTGCTCATTTCAATCATCTCCCCAGTTGAAATAAATAGCCCGGAGGTGATTGTTGTTGTTAGTGTGACATCATGATTTGGTCTATATCAAAACATCCCTTTACAAACTCTCACAGAACTCATGAAGCATAATCAGTTTATATGCTCAGTACTTTCCAAACAGACTGCTCTTTAACAGCCAGTGTCAGACTCCATTGACAAAAACAATAATTTTACCTCACTGAACACTGGAGCTGCTGCTCTACCGCTGCCCTGGTCATTTATTTTGTTTGTGTTATGTGTGCCTTTAGTGTTTTACAGGGTTAGTTAGGATTCCACTGTCTGTTTGGGAAGTACTGGTTATGTGAGACTTGGTTTATACTGCCTGAATTGTGTGAGAGTTTGTAAACGTACTTTCTGATGTTGTTTTGCTGTCGCTAAACGCGGTCCCCCAATGACTTCAATTCATCATGAATTTTCTCCTTCTTTAGATTTTCTATTCACTGTGAAGGCAGGTAAAAGATAAATAAATACAATAAAAATTCTTCACAAATTTAATGTAACACTGGGCGAGTAAATGATATACAAATGATCATTTGGGGGTTTGACTTGGGCTTTCAGCAGTGGTTGGATTATAGTTTTTAAATCAAAATTTCTGTTCCTTCTTCACCTAGTTCATGGTTCTTGTACAGTGATAAATTTCTTTTTCTATGCATTTTCATCTGTGTTGAGTTCTTAAGAAAGCTGAAGTACAGCCTTGTTACTAATAATCATCAATAAGTTGTTAAAAATATTGTTTCTGGCAGGTTACAATTTCTAATTTGTTACAAGAGTCAGATCTTGGTGTGAAGAATTAAAGTCTAATAACTAAGTTAAGATTTGTAGCTAAGAAAAGCTGTATCACAACACTGCAGACAAGAGCCAGGTCAGAAATACCTGTGAGCTGCATGACTGGATTACCCAGCTAAGAGGTTTTTATTGTCCTCTCAAGAAAATGCCAGCCAATTGGAGAAATCTATTTTAGTTAAATCCAGGAGCTTTTGAGCAACAAGCAAGACAGTCAGTGTCAAACAGATAAGGACACTGAAAATAGCTGTGTAATCATCCCAATTTTGTCGAGCCTTCTTCAGACATTAACAACGTAAGTCCTGCCACAGAGGCAGCAAACACATCGTCACACCATCGAGTGACACACAAAAGAGCTCAATCAGACACCTGATGTAAATTGACTCTATTAAGTCAAGACTGTGTCCGCACCAGCAGCAGCCAGCCTGTGGCTTGACTTCATTTGTGTCCCTTTATATCCACTGAGGTGGATTTATAATTATGCCAATTTGTACTCAATTAAAGAGCCAATAAGCGGTTGTTTTGTGTGTGAGTCAATGAGGAAACGTCTGCTCTGCTCCGGTGGTCCAAACTCAGGATTCTGTTTTTATTTTTCTCCTCAAAACAATATGTGGATTTATCTGTGAGTA